CTCATGAATAAAACAATCAGAAGCAGCCACTCGGTTTACCGTACCAGAGAGAGAGAGAGAGAGAGGATACGTTGTCACCGCGGCGAGGAAAGGTGCGAGTGTGCGAGCGCCCTGTTCTTAGAAGCCGAGTTCGTACGAGGTCAAGAGCAAAAGTAAATGACACTCCGACTGGACTCGACTATCTCTCTCTGTGTGTGTCTGTACGTGTGACTGGTGGCGAAAAAATTCCAAGGAAGGAAAGAAATCTCTGTGATGTAACCGTGGTCGAAACGCGGCTCTTCGTCCGAACATTTCGTTCGACAGAATGGAATCGCGTGAGAGTTGGAATTATTGGTATTATACTTGGTGGACGTTTAACAACCGACTCCGGGATCTATCATTATCGTTTCCTTCTGCGAGTTCGTCGACAGGGGTTCCGTTTCACGGGCTGCTAACGCCAACAGCCTCGAGCGAGTTGGCTTTTTTCCCTTTCAGGACGATGAAAACTGGCGAGAGAGTGACGAGCACGGGAGCAATTAAGAATAACAATTAGCTGGCGAGCGTAATCGATACGGATCCGTAATGCAAAGTCGAGTTTGGGGTTTCTGGGTCTCTCCGCCGTTTACTTCCGGCATGGAAGACGAGTGAAAGCACGTTAATATTGATCGATGCTCGATTACGAATAGGTTTACCGTGAGATACGTTCACGGATAGATCTGGGTTGTTCGACGTGGTATTTATCGGAGGAAAAAAGGATCGGGAGAGGAGAAGCAAGATGGTGGAAAATTGCGGTTCGATGTTTGGCCAAGTGATAAATTGGCTGTGGGAAAAGGAAAGGAAGAAAATCGTTAATGGGTAGCACTCAAGGCTGGTCGTTGGCCGTGACTTGTATCGCGCGTCCATTTCTTCAGAAAGCACTGTCCACTTTTAGCGCTGGTTCTTTCTACACCGTAGGGAAGATAATTGACGCGCAGCTAATAACCACCGAGAATAGTATCCTAAGCGCCACTCTATTAGCTCCATCGAATCACAGCCGGTAGAGTTTCTTGATTTACAACCTTGCAGTCACTTCGAATCAACTCTATTACCGACTTTATCAGCCCCTTCCAGTTACCTTCGGTCAGCCAGCTTTTCGCACGCGTAATTGCCTCGCGATATCGATCGCGCGATAAAGAGACGTTCTAATCGTGAGAATCGGCTGAACTTGGAAGATATCGAGGTCTTCCATGGATTCACGCGTTCTTCGCGGTCATTCAAGATCAACAGGAACAATCATTCGAGCCTGAAACTTCTCACATCGTTAGGAAGCTTCTTTCCCAGTCTTCGAGTACTGTTAATATGGTAACGCGTCCTAGGAATAATTAGCAGGCTACCTCTGATCGTGGAAACGAATTGAAGCGAGTCGTTGGAGGAAGTCGAGGCGATTAGATGAAACGTGAGAATTGGAGAACGAAACGGAGCGGAGGGGGAAAAAGAAGGTGGTGAAAAACTACGCTTCCGGTTCGAGTATCGAGCAGATTCCTTCGTGGACCATGAGCACGTCATGCGGTTGATTCTAACGGTAAAGATGAATCGTCGAAAACGTTCCTTCCTCTCTTGCTTCTCTTTATCGAGTGGTACACGTTTACTCATCCTTGGACTCGCCGGTAGTTAACGGTACAGCCATTTCGGTGGTTTGGTTTCGTGACGAATAAATTATTATAACTGTCAGCCAGCCGACTTGTTACGTATACGGAATTCTTCGGCGTGAATGCGGAGGCAGAGAGCGATTTCATTGTCAAGGGCTCATTATCGCTTTCACATGACGTACACACGCGAGAAATTATCGGGTATCCGACGTATGCGAGGTGATTTCATCCTGAAACCACCTTGCACAACGGCCCGATCGTTATACCCGGCTCGTATTAAGGGCAATACGCTTAACGATCAGAAAATACAGCAATTTCGAATGAAACGATCGCTCGAAAACGCGCGAGGTAAGCAGTGAAAAAGATCGGAACGCGATCCTTCGCTGTGCAGGTATATACAGAGAAGCAAACCGAGGAAAAAGCGAACCCGAGGAGGCGTGCCTAAACGTTGCTACATTCGTCCTGGATAATAAAGCTTCTAGGAATCTCCAAGAACTCGACCATGCGATAATTACTTTTCAGATAGTCTCTCCCTCTGATACCTGTCCGGAATATTTTCCAAAGGCAATCTTCATTTTCTCCGCGGGAAAGATTTACGTGCATCCGCTCCGCGGTGCACGTGTCCCTCTTTCATCTAAATTTTATCATTTCTGTTTCTCTCTGTTAGGATTCTAATTACAGGGGGGGCGAACTCTAATTAGAGACCGAGCTATACGAAATTCTAGTTTAAATCTCATCGCTGCAGGGTGTGTAGTTAATTTATTTTGCGATCTACTTTAGACCAGGGAGCAGACTTGAATACTGTTTAACCCGAATGAGAAATTGTATCGGGGAACTGTCGGGGAGTTGACGAATTTTCCAGTCGTCCAAGTTTCTACATACCGTATTACGAAGTAATACCTTCGACGATTCGGTCGTTGAAGATTTTTTTAAAATTTAAATCTGTCACAGCCTACAGGATGTCACTCACCGTGAGGAGGAAGGCTGTTTCTCTAACACCGTGCGTTTGGAATCCTTTTTTCTTTTTTGCTCCGGTCCGTTTGACGATAGTGATCGGCTAACGCGTTACATGAATCGATCGAACTCGTTCGAGAGGTGTGATGGAATTAGGATTAATAAACGAGGGCACACGAGTTTCTTAAACACTGTTCATGTCACCACACCGGATGTCGTGGGGTCGAACACCTCCGTCCTCACAGGTGGATGTCCAGAGGTTGACTGTAGAATCGTAAGTAACCGCTCTCTGTGCTCTGGTAGAGCTGGGGAGAAAGAGGGGATGAGACGAGGAATATCGGCCCCTATTCTACCTCGAAACCTTTTTTTTTTCCTCTTATTGGAGAAAAAGCTCGAAGAGGAAACGAAAGAGTAACCGGGAACGCCCCCCACTCTTATTTCCCTTGCATCTCGCCGAAAGATCATCTACCAACACTTCGTCGATAAATTGTACATTGTAGATTGGTATTGTTTATTTGATGAAATCTTATCGATAATCGTTTATATAAGGATAGAGGGATTAAAATATAAAAATACCATGTTTTAGGGTTACATTCTCTTTATAGTTGTACCACGATGATAATGTACAAAGTATACGGATCTTTAAATTAACAATGAAAAAAGTTTAATATATTTGCATGTTTGAATTTGGTTTTCTCGTCGATTAGCTGTTAGCCAAAGTCTGATCAATCCATATGCGTGTTAGATAGTTGTATAAAAACTCTTGTCACTCGAAGAACCTTAACATTTTCTATTCGAATATCGATTCACAAACTGTGTCTCATCCTTCAAGTCTGTTATCAACTATATGTCATTGCATTTTCGTGGTCTTATTACAACTAATTAGAAAACAGTTATATTAAAACGTCTTACTGTTGAAGACTGAAACGTATATTTATGTATATATATGTATATATTTATATGGAGAATGTACTTTTAGAATATTCTCTGTTTGTTGACAATAATGATGAATAGAAATGAGAATCGTTTAAGCAACGTACTTCACCCTAGCCTCGATGATAACGAATGTAAATGATATCTGCCGAACTTCCTACTCACTCTAGGAACGATAACATGAAATATTGTACAAATTGCAATAAACAACAATCATTAATTTATAATACAGTAGCTAGTCAGTGTCGAAGTAGCTCCCTTAAGCTACACTTCACGTATTAAAATAAGTGGTAGAAATTTTGCAAGATTTTCGATGCATATATATTGGAATCGCAGTCTTATAGATACTAATTATTTAAAAAATTACGTGGAAACGATACGAGGCGTCAAGTTAAAATTCGAGTTCAATATAATGGCAAAATTATAAACTGTTCCGTGTAATTTCGTAATTAACTGCGTGTAACTAAAATAGTATGTCGCGATATTTAATAAATGCCTCTTTCTATGGAGAACCGAATGGTTCCTTCTACCTAATCCTTATAACTGCTTTACTTAAGTAAACATACAGGGTAAGAATATTAAAACATACACATATACATCCTATGTTTGCTTGCTCAATCGTCAAACTTAATGGAATTGACGCTAGTATCTATTTGACCGCCACGGTAGCTACCACGCTTTTTCTTCGTCTTTTCGTGACGAAAAGACTTTCCTCTCGTGTGCTTGAGGTCCATATTCGCTTTCTCTCCCCAAGAGCCACGGGCACCTCTCTGTTGGAAAAAAATATATTCGCTTACCATGTCAACGTTTCACTGGAATACCTCACTACTTCGAACTAACTATGCCCTCTCACCTTTATACAAACTTCTCATCATCAATCATCGAACGTAATTTTTTTATTTTGCGACTGCGCGTTATCGAATGATCTCTTTTTTTCGAAACCACCACCTCCTCCTCCTCCTCTACCCCCTCTGAAACCGCCACCGTGGCCACCGCCCCCCCTTTCATTGTTACCCCATGACCTTCTAAATCCACCTTCGTTATCATTGTTCCTGTCGTTCCCACCCCACGACTTTCTGTTATCAAAACCTCCTCTGCCACCTCCACGACCGCTCCTGAAACCACCTCTGCCACCTCCACGATCGCCTCTGTCACCCCTATCGCCTCTATCTCCTCCTCTATCACCCCTAGGCCCTCTATCACCTCTAGGCCCTCTATCACCGAACCCGCCGCGCCCCCCTCTGAAACCACCTCCGCGACCTCCGCCACCACCGCGACCGCCACCACCCCTTCCACCGTGTTTCCTAAAACCACCCTGTTCCTGATCGTCCTCCTAGAACAAAAAAGAAACTCAGGTCAACCGCCGTTTTCTCTACACACAGGCGAACATCCTCTCGTTTAATTTAGCAGTTTTTATTAAGAATTTAATGCAAATGGGATCGGTGAATGCACGGAAACATGGTCTCAAGAGCTTTTGCAAAACGGCGAGTGACCTGTGCTTCTTGGATGTTTCCAAGCATTTACCTTTGCCTCAAAAGAATTGTTAGCCAATTTCGGATGCAAGTCTACCTCATCGCCCTTTACACGACGAAATGGGGAATTCTTTTGCTGCTAAACATAAAATTTCGTGAATAAAAATATTTCTATTTGAAAATTACCAACTCGTAAGTGTAATATGATTGTCACCTTGTCACCGTTGAAACTGTTGTTTGCCTTCACGAAATTGCTGTAGTTGTTTTTCTGTACTTTTGCAGGAGTTTTCTCTTCATCCTCCTCCTGTTCCTGTTCTACATCTTTGTGTTTCCTCTTTTCACTCTTGTGAGGTTTTGGTGGAGGTACTTCTTTCTGTTGTTTTTCCTCGTCAGAATCACTTTCATCTGAATCTGAGTCTTTTTTAGCTGGTGTCGATTTTGGTGTGCTTTTAGCTGCAGGTATTGTTTTTAATTTTTCACTTTCTGACGAATCGGAGTCCTCGCTGGATGACTCTTTCTTGCCAGTAGCCTTCACCTGTAGTGTTGCTGCCTGTGTTTTAACTGTTTTTTCATCATCAGAATCATCCGAATCGTCAGAACTAGATTTTTGTTTTGCCACAGGTTTTGCTGCTACTTTTGAAGTTGGATTTTTATCGTCGTCAGAATCGTCGGAATCTTCGCTAGAAGACTCAGCTTTCTTGGGAGCAACAACTTTAGCTGGTGTTACTAATTTAGCAGGAGCAGGTTTTTTTGGAGCTGGTTCATCCTCGTCACTGCTATCTTCGCTGGAAGAAGATTCTTCCTTCTTAGCATGAGCTTTCTTTGAGGCTACCAGTGTTGATGTTGGTGTAGGAGCAGGCTTTTTGGCTGGTGGCTCATCCTCACTGCTATCTTCGCTAGATGAATCTTCCTTTGTGACTGTAACTGTTGGTTTTGCTGGTATAGCTTTACTTTGCTTTCCAGGTTTTACTACTGCTTCTTTCTTTTGTGGAGTTACAGGTGCAGGTTTTTTCTTCTCTTGGGCTTTAGGAGTTTGCTTTGCTGGTGGTTTTGCAACAGTTTCCTCTTCTGAAGAATCATCGGAATCTTCGCTTGAAGATTTTCGTTTCTTAGCAGCTTTAGTTGGTGGTGCAGTTGGTTTAGCAGCTTTAGGTGTTTGCTGTTGCTTAGCTTTAGGTGCTGGCTGTGGTTTAGTGTTCTCTTCTTCAGAGGAATCATCTGAATCGTCGCTAGATTCTTCTTTCTTTGCTGGAACCTTTACTGCAGGTGTGATAGGTTTCTTTAATATTGGTTTAACAGGACTTTCATCTTCACTGTCACTACTATCATCACTGGAAGATTTTTTCTTAGCAGCAGCCTTAGGCTGAGGTGTTGTGGCTGATTTAGCAATCGATTTGGTGACTACATTTGCTTTAGACATTTTCTCACTATCTGAGTCAGAATCATCCGAAGATGTCTGGGCTTTAGATACTTGAGGTGGTTTGACTGTTTGTACAGATGCTTTTGATTGTACTTTTGGTGTCTTATCTTCCTCTTCTGAAGAACTATCATCTGAACTTTCTTTCCTCTTTACAGGTTGTGCTTTAGATGGTGTTTTAACAGCAATGTTAACTTGTGTAGCTACTTTTGGTGCTGGTTTTTCATCCTCACTAGAGGAATCCTCTGAGGATGATTTTTTTGTCTTACTATTTGCTTGAGCATTAACTGCAGCTTTACCGTTTAACTGTGGAACCTTTTTTGGTGTTTCATCCTCACTATCTGAACTAGAATCAGAACTACTATCTTTATTTTGTGCTTTTACGTTTAATTTTTTCGGGGACGATTTCTGAAAATACTGAAACACTTCTTGAATCGTCGGCGCTCCCTTAGGTAGTGTGGGCTGGAAAAGAAATAAACGAACGCGGCTAAGTCTCATTTCGTTAATCACTATTTGCCTATTATACATCTGCGTAAGTAATACATTGATGATAATATTAATTACCGCGCGTACAGGAATAAAATGTGGCGATAAAGGAACTTTATTTCAACGTAAATTCGAAATATAAAATAACGAAAATATTTCGCCCACGTGGTACGGCCAAATGGCGGCACTTGATGTACAGCATGGACATGAGCACTCGAACAATCGATCAATAATAGTATATACGCAAAAACTCTCCATAACCTTACCGCCTTTGTTTTCTTCTGAAAAACCTTTGCCAAAGATGCGTCTTTTTTTAATAAATAGTCGTACACAAGGGCAGAAACACTTTGATCTTCGGCGGATGCCATGATGGAAGCGTGTAAAGAGCTTGAAAAATTAGCCGCAATTGGATAGACCACTGTCCTACAATATCCGTTCTTACGAACACAGCGCTGTAGTCGAACACGAATTGCGTTGTAATATGATGCGTAGTTCTTCTATAGTAACATACGTGTTACTTGTAGAACACTTTCTTTTTCGGCGTAATTTTGGATTAGTGATTACGCGTGTTCAGTTAGATCAAAATGTCTCGTTAATTTTTGTGGAAATGTTTCAGTAATTATTCAAATTGCAATACAAAATATTAAGCTTGATTTCACACGTAGCCCGCGTTTATGTTCAATATTGGTGTACTTTACGAACGCGCCGAAATCCGATGTGTATTCTCTATTTTCTGATTGGTGAAATATCGGTCAGTAGGCAGCGCATTGGATGTTTTTAAAATGATAAACCGGCTTTGCAGTAACCTGTAAAGTGCTGGGCTTTTCAGCGGAAATTTAGTTTCTTTCAATTGTGTTTCGCGGTAGGTATTCGAAAATTATGACAGAGACGCAACAGAAAGCAAAATGCATCACGTTGAAAGGCTCGGCAGAGTTGGTCAAGGAATATCTTCGTAAGTTTATCGCCTGCTCGATATTCCGTTTAACCGAATTCGCGGTTGTTGATCGTTAACCGTTTCTTCTGTTACAGTTTACGGCGTGAACAGTATTTTGTACCAGAGAGGAATTTATCCACCAGAAACGTTCGAGCCTGCCGAACATTTTGGCTTGTTCGTGTTAATGTCGACGGACCAGAAGATCAAGGGATTTTTAGATACCGTTCTTGGTCAGATTCGAGAATGGCTCACTCAACGGAAAGTACAAAAAATCACCCTCGTTATAACGAACGTGAATACCAAAGAAGTTTTAGAAAAATGGGATTTCAAAGTTGATTACGAGGGTCAAACGTCTAATGGCACCAATGATAGCACAAGTAACGGCCTTCCTGAAGTGGGTATGAAAGATGTGAAGATTATACAAAAGGAAATCCGTGAGGTCATACGTCAGATCACAGGTAACTTCTTGCATTCAAGGATTCAAGGTTCTCTAATAAAATCTTTCTACATTCAAGAAACATTGTAAGTGTTTTTTGGGGACCTTTTTATGTTTCAGGTACTGTAAGTTTCCTTCCACTATTGGATTGCTTATGCTCATTCGATATCTTGACTTATACTGTACCTGACTGTGGTATTCCAAAAGAGTGGGATGAAACACAGCCTGTTTTTATTGCAAACAGCCAAGAAGTACAGTTAAGATCATTTTCAACTTCTATTCATAAAATGGAAACCATAGTTAGCTATAAGAATATTTGAATTTAAGTGTTTTATTCCTGGTGCTTGAAGTGTGCATACAAAATATGTGTATAGTTCAACTCCTTAGCAATATTTAATATTAAAGACTGCTATTTAAATATCGATTTTTCTATGCAAATAATTCTAACATAATGTAACGTATATATGTATATATATATATATATTTTTTGAAATAATTTTCGTAATTAGCTCATTTTGTGGAAAATCCATGGGTCTAGGTTCCTGTTACTTCTTCTTCCTTGTGTGAATACACATTCCTAGCTCTACCTTTAAGCCTACTTACAGTCCAATCTACGGTTAGGGAAAACAAGGAATTGACAAGAATCTTGGCAGATTTTATTAAAACATAATTGACTATTACACTTAACACAGGAATTATATTATTTTACTTGGCAAAGCATGAAAGATACGACTAGAATAAAATATTTTTCGTGTTTGACGTTCGTCATATACCAAATCGCAAGTAACATCGTTAGCATTACATAAATACTCTTAGGTGTACAGGTGCTCCAAAATTTATCCAATACTTCGTCTTCAATATCATTTTTCTTTCTTTCTTTTTCTTCTTTTTTTCGATGTCACAATGTTCACTGTTGTAAAGAATGTTACAGTAACACACGAACTTGTCGAAACGAAATCTCGAAATATGTATATAAACGCAGAACGAAAATACAAATCTTCAGGAGCACGTACACGTTTGACTAGGCATCTTTCGTTAGGTGTGTGTGTGAGTTTAATTAATCGCGGCGGATTCGTATCTCTTTTTTCGGTGCGCGATCAAACGAAATTCAATACAAATCTCGTGCCTTACGTAAACTAGTATTTCTTTTTTTTGTTCTTTCGTCTCGCGATATTCGTCGAATAATTGGTATCTTGGTCGTAACATTCTTCTTTTTTTACGGTACCTATTGTACCCGACCGTCTTCGAACGTCATCGAAGACCATTTTTTTCTCTCTCTTTTTTTTTCTTTTCTTTAGGAAACATCAACAGCGGCTTATGCTTCGTTTAATAATTGCAGCGTTCGTTTTCCCTTACGACAATTTCGCTATTAACTCGTTAGTACTTCGTGCTGCTAGGAGTTTAGCCTTACGATCCATTTAGTGCACTTCGTTTCGCTATTTAGACTATTCGCTGTCACGCATCACGTACAAAACGAATCGTTCGGTCGGCCCTCTCTATCTCGATCTCCTTCGATCTTTCGAACAAACTAACGTTATACTTCTCTTAGCTTTCGAGAACAAGGCAAGCTTGCTTGTCATCCGCGCGGTTCACAATCTCTCTCTCTCGCTCGAGGGCGGACACGGCACGTCCGTAATAATCTTTAACGCGCAAGCTGTACGCTCTTTTAAATCTCGCCTAGACTAGATTTGCTTCGGTTTTTTTTTTTCTTGGTTAGTTTTACACACTGCAAAAGCTGCTGGAAATACGTTGAAGTTTATAAACATTCTAATCCCTGCTGATCCGCTGTGACTGTAATTTCGCGTGACGTATTTTTCGTCTTCTTAAAATTAAGTGCACCGATTCTTTTCTCTTCTTCTTCTTCTTCTTCTTCTTCTTCTTAGGCTGAGGAGATGACGGGTAGAATGGAAAAATTGTCGAAATTGGTGGGTTTCGTTTGGTTCGTCACGAAGTGTTCGAGTTAGGCACAGCCTCGCGGATCAGAACGAGTCATGTCTTCTATATATTATACGCGATAATTCTCGGTTCGAGTATTCGTAAAAACGCGTCTCCTAGTAAAAACATTGAAAAATAAATAACGCGAAACAATATACAATATTTTACAGTAGCGCGCTTTATAGTGTTATATCCGTGGGATAGGGCGATTCTCGCGGTTCCATAATCGATGCGGTGTTCCATTGACTTCCGTCGCAAACAAGAAAATTAAACGTTGCGGAAGTGGATTGGTCACGTTGTCCGTATTTCTCTTCTTTTTTTTTTTTTTTGTTTTAATTTTACGGGATTTCACGCGCGACAGGATGATCTCGTTACGTTCACGACGAGATACCGTGGACGTTTCACGACAACGATCGACTAACTATCGTCACGAACGATTGGTAGAATCGTTCGCCTACGCGATTATCGTTCCGCGGTCTTGTTCTCAGCCCTGGGTGACAACACTTTTGGTGCAACGCTATGCGCACACCTCGATCTCTTCTCTCATTTATACACCTCTACTTAAGTTTACCTTGGACTAATCGCTATATTCGATTTACGATCGTTTTATGCGTAAAATATCATAAAATACATTCTTCTTTTGTTCGCTATGATCAGGCTCGTCGTTCCGCTCCGCTGTCGATCGTCTGTTTTCTTCGTTACGCTCTCGCCTCTCTCTTGTTGTATCAAGAACGAATTGGATCGTAAGAAATGTAAGGATTTACGACGGACGCGTGGTGACGAAGCCACGAGGGTGGAGGATATTCGGTGGAATCTGAACAGCAGACGGAACGACCAGCCATCGATGACTCACGATGACTTTCATACAAATCGTTCGATAGGTACGAGCGACGAAATGAATTCGTAAACGAAAAAGCACGGCGGCACTAGTAAGCTTGCACGGACATCATACGCTACCACGATTTTCTTTTTTTTCTCTTAATTTTCCTTTCGCTTCGCTTCGTTCGAAAAAGTCTCACGGTATTTATATTCGCTAAGAATGGCAGAGTACTCCTTCCTCTTCTCTTTCTCTCTCGCGGAAGAACAGCTGGAACGCTGGTTGTTCGCTCGTTTCGTTCGACAACTACATCTCTATACGTAATATTTTATAGCTCTAAAAATGTAAAAAGTAAGCGTGCGTGTGTTCCCCGATCGATAGGGACGCGAACACACGAGTTTCCTTCGTAACAGAAACATTTGAACTTCACTTCCCTCTTCTCCTCGACGAACACGGAACTCGTTCATTTTTATCACCACCTTGTTTTCTACCTTTACGTCTGTTTTTTCTCCTTCTTTCTTTTTTCCTCCCTTTCCCTCCCTCATCGATCGTTTTGGCGAGGCCAATCGAGGCCGATATTACGATTCGGTGGCTGTGCAGCGAAAATGCAATTACTCCTGGCAATTCTTCCGGCGATGCTTGCTCCGTTAATTAAAGTGCCGCCTGATTTCTTCAGCCTCGCCGTAATAACGCAACCAACCCTCTTTCATTCGAAAACCAGAGTCACAGACGACTCTTTCGACCAATTCCCAGCGAGTTTCTCCGCTCTCAAATGTCTCTGGTCCCGAGAAACAGGAGAAGTTTCGTGTTCGACGTTTCGATCGATCGGTGCTCGAGCGCGCGCAGCCACACGTCGCACACACATCACACACACACAGACACACACACAGACACACACACACACGCTGCTCGAAGGGAAATACAAGGAATACTTTGTACAAGAGCGTCCTGGACGCGTCTGAACGCACGCTTCGACGAATCGTCGCTCGAAAAACCCGAGGAGCGTCTTTTCACGGTGGTTTTGCTCCGGATTCGAAACACCTGGCCGTTTTCTTCGAGGCAGCCCTCTTCCGTTAATCCTTCACGAATTCGATCGATCTCGAAGAACCAATACCGACAATTCTACACGCGCAAGCGACGGTGGATTTAGAATTTCTCTTTTGTTACAACGAAAACGTTTGGTACATTTCGAAGCTTTCGAAAGTTCCTCTACTTGGTCGGTGTCTATGAGCAATTTCTGCCTCGAAGACATTGGCCGCCGCGTAGGAAGACACTCGTTGATCCCGGAAATCCTATTACAAGATCTCGAATCGTTCAGGCCGAGTCTTTCCTCCTGCAATCCCGTAAAACGGAATCGTCGCGTCCACGTGGTGTTCTAACGATCCCCGCACGTGCTTGCGGATAAGGTTTACGACGTCTTCTCCGCTTCTATTTTTCTCCCTCTCTCTCCCTCTCTCTCTGTTTCACTCGGTTGTGAGTCTTTCGAGGTAGAGAAGGAAAGAAAGGCGAAAGAACAGAGGGAAAAGGAAAGAGGGATTTGCCAGTCGCTCCGAGGAAAGATTGCAGGGGCAAGGAGGGTGCGAAAGCAGCAACGTCGAGAGCCTTTGGCAACGAAAGGAGAATCGATAGGACCGTATGTATCTGCGGGCAGTACAGAGTGTTATCGAACCGTGTTTTAATTCTCGATACGCGTAAATGATCGACGAGCGAAAAATAGCGTTCTCTCCGCGGGTGAAAATTAAAGCTGTTGGTACGCGCGCGCGGTGTGAACCGGCCGGGAACAAAAAAAAAAATATACAACAACGTATCCCCTGCCGTAAATGCAGTTTACACACATGGGACTTAAATTTGATTTGACCGCGATATTTTGCGCGTGGTACATACCGTCCGTGCGGCAACGTTTATCGTGTTTCTGACATTTTCAACCGGGGCCCCACTGTGTACAGCCGCGAGAGGAAGAGAGAAAGGGGTGAAAAATAGAAAGTCCCCCGTCCGACGGCGTCCCTTGTTCCTCGAGATCCTCCGTTCCTGGTGCTTGCTCTAGGACGACGACGACGACGACGTCGAGCCACTCGACGATGCTCTGCAACGAGAAAAACGTGTTTTGTAGTGGAGAATTAAGGGAGGTGCGACGTCGTTAGAGGTATTTTCGTAAGAATATCTCGAGTTTCGCCGGCGACAAGATGGCGTGTACAAGCCGCTCGTGAAGGGAGCGAAATTAGCCGTTTCACGGTGATCTTGGCCGCGTCTAGCGGGTCAATCAAATATTCAACAGTTAAAACCAAACAACCAGCCACCCCTCCTCGGCGTTGATCCGTTTATCCTGGCAAGTCCTCCGGCAATTTCTCATTTCGGAACGAAACGGAAGCCCGGGTTCCCTCTGTTTTCCCTCAAACTTTCTTCTCATCCGCGGTGTTGTTTCGACGCGGTTGTTACTCTCCTCTCTTTGTCTCCCTTCCCCTCGCAATTCTCCTTTGTGCCATGGATGAAGCATCGTTCAGAAGGATACCCTATTTGTCTCCCTTGTTCCGTTACCGCGCGTGGATCCATCTTTATCTCAACGCGGCTCACCCTACCTAGATATTCGGTATAACGGAACGTCTCTTGCCTCCCCTTTCGCCTTCTCCTCGACAAACGAGCGGCTTAAGGTGGCTAATGGAATCGACCTGGCCAATGATAGTTCGCCTTGGCTTTGCTTTAACGAGCAGACCAAATGGAAATTCCATTTCAACGATTATTCTACGGGATTGTACCTTTGCACCGTAGGTACACCATTGGTTACACGTGACGCGAACAATTTAGAGCAATATTCTGGAAATGTTCTTACCTCGTTATGCACGATCAGCGAGAGAAAGATCGACGCTGTGGACACGAAGCTTCCGCATGTCAGAGATGGGTTCCGTAATTCAGCCGGAAAAGCATGCTCCTGTTGGCGGATCCGAGCGGACTAGTTGAGCTGTCGACGGTCCAGGACGCGTGGATGACGTTGGTCGGCGAATCGCTTCATCTCCTGGGGCTCTCCTGTGGCAGCAAGTGGCCGTGGAAATTATTCGTGGGCCCCCCGAAAGGTGATTCCGCCTCAGCTCTCCCGGACTTTCCGGCCTAATTAGTCCGGTTCTATTAAGTTTATCTGGGGGCATCGGGGTCGCCAAGTTCCCCGGGGAACTCGAGCGCTGTTGGAACGAAAGTTCGCCTGGAGATAACTCCTGGACTAAGTAGCGAATGATTAAGCCAGAACGCCGTGGATCGTATGCTTCCATGGTGCTCTCTCTCGTCTCTGATCCACGGCCTCGCGCTAAGTAACAATTAGACCATTTTCCTACAATCAGAGATCATTCTTAAAGACTTTCGTCTCTCGGATGGTGCTTCGCTAAATTCTCACTTTCGTGCGATGAGAAACGGACGTTGAACTTAAATTTCGATTTGAAATACGTCTGATAATTGTTAAACACTTTGCTCTCAGTTTTCACGAATTTTCGTTTCGGAAGATATTTCGAAACACCAACGAAGGGATATTTGCGGTTAGTTCAGCGGTTAGCTTTCTATCCGGTGTACAGTCGATAGTATAGAGAGGGTAAATTCGCGTTAGCAGTTACGAACAAGCGGAATCGGTAATAGATGCGGCGCGACAAATATGTTTTTGCCAGCGTGGCTGGAGAGTGCCGATAATGGTCTTTGCGTCTAATTACCACGGGCCATTAGGTTTATCTATGAACGTTGAAAGTCGCCCAGAGTTTCGTTCTTGTTACCATCTGGCGGCGAATAAACAATTTCCACTGTCGTTTTACCTATGCATGTTTCCGCGCAATTATCGGCACCGCGTTCGCGTATTAATACGCGATTACAACGTGGACCGGACGATTAAAAAATAATTGCCGTTCGCGAGTGTCCACAGTTCGGCGGGAGGGGCGGTCGAATGAAAATGGGAAATTTAATTTTTGTCTCGCGGCCTTTTCGAGAAACGCTCGTTAACAATTTGTCCACGGTAATTGATTTCGATCGCGCGAGAACGGAGGCGCGAAACGAGAACCTTTTTCATCCGCCATTAACGAATTTTCCCCCGGTTAAAAAGTCGCCGCCGACACTTTCAACGCGTGAAATTTTAATTGTCGTTAATCCCTTCTGGCCCTTCCTTCTCTAGCGACTAACGAGTTTCTCGCGACGCAAAGTTTCTCACTCTAATATGCGATAGTCAGCACTTGTACCATCTTCAGATTCGTAACTCGGAAGTGTCTTATAGTTGGCCGAGCATCGGCTTCGAGACCGTGCTAAGTTAGCCCGGGTTACCACACGTTGAATAGTTTGCAAGTCCATTATGGCGGGCGTTAAGGACGCGTATCTTGCACACGTTGCACCACGTTACACTGGTATAAATCTTCGTCGTGTCCCTCTCGATACGTGTATATCCGACGCGTTACAGCGTTACAATTCTCAATTATCGTCCTACGAAATCTTAAGGACGCGTATCTTGCACACGTTGCACCACGTTACACTGGTATAAATCTTCGTCGTGTCCCCCTCGATACGTGTATATCCGACGCGTTACAGCGTTACAATTCTCAATTATCGTCCTACGAAATCTCTCTCTCTCTCTCTCGGTACTATTCTCTTTTCTCAGCATATACTATACGAACGAGTACCATTTCCTCAGGCCTGTAAGCTTGGCTAGAAAATTTTAACGGATTAAATTATCCCAACTGAGCAAACGTGCAAAGAGAAACGTAAACATTCCGGGGCGCATTTCCAAACACGGGGAATTTAGCAGCGATTTCTTTGGACGATCGTTTGCCAGTCTCTCTCTCTTTCTCGACCTTTTGCCTTTTCTCCCAGCGTTTGGCGTGAGAAGCGTTCGAGCTCTCGTTGCGTTTCGGGAGTTCGCCTTTTTCCTTCATCCCTGGCCAGCTTTTTTTCCTACGGTGCAAAAGGTTGCCGCGAGTTAGCAAAGAGCTCCCCGGTTCAGATATCGCGGAGCTCATATCCCAGGGCACTCTTTTCGCTGCGTTTCAACCCCCGACCACCGTTTCTTCTTTTTCACCCTCGCAAAACGACCGTTCCTCCGCCGCTAGCCCGAACGAGCCGCGCTATCTAAGGACTCCAGGGAGATCCAACTTGGATATTACATCGGGTTCCGCGTTTATTAATCTACCAATTACTTTCACGGAGTCACGGAAACGTGCCGGAACTGTCGACGGTGGGAATGAATCCCTTTGCAAGTGTTTAATCCTTTCGTTTAGTACTGCACCATATTTCTGTCGTGTAATCTCACGCTTAACGCTACGACACGTATCGGAGAGAGAGAGAGAGAGAGAGAAATTCGGTCCAATTCGTACGAAGAAACGAATCGTCTTGGACTCACGCGAGTTTCTTCGCACGTAGCGATTAAGAGATCGATAAAATTAGGCTAATTGTGCGAAAGTGGGTGAAAGAAGCGCGCCGAGGACGCGGCGAGTGGCGAACTTACCTCTGACATGGATCGACGGCGTAGCCAGGCGTTCGTCGCGGGCTCGAAACGAGGCAACGGCGAACAGGAAGAGCTGGAATATGTAGGAAACGAAGCGGGAAAGTGGAAAACGTCTGTAGGATGTGGCGTGTGCGGGAGTAACGTTCGGTGTTTGGACTGGGGAATGGAAATATCTGGTGGAAAAGTGTCGGTGAGCCCGAGGAGAGCGGAGAAGACGAGGACGCGTATGTAGGAACCTGAACAGTGGGTAACGGGAGGGGATGTGGGTGAGGCTACAACAAAACAAAACACGATGAATGTCCCGATGTGCAAGCTGCAAGCACAACAATGTCAGGAAGATCGATGGTTAGTCTTTGTCGCGTGGCGTCGCCGCGAATTACCTGGATAGATGGCCACCGATAACGCGGCTACCGATAAATTTCCACCGCGACGTTTAATATTCTGCCACGTTCTTCCGTCATCAGAGAACGCGCTTTCCGGGTTTGCTTTATGACACCGGCGTGTGGGCGCGTGGCAACTCTATCCAGCCGATTCGACGACGTGTAATTTGGATTAGAGATTAGTAGTAGCGGCGTATATTATTGTTGTACACCGGCAAAAGGCAATACATTTTGAAGCGTTCATCTGGTTAGGATGTTAGCGAAGATCGTAGTGAAAGCGTTAGCAAGTAGAACTGAGACTGTTAATTGTTAATTTACCTTGACAGTGCCGCTAGATGCGCTAGAAGCGGGCGAGCGTCACGTCCTCGGCGAACGAAGAGAACTTATCCATATCTTGAGTTAGCGAGCAGAACAGAAACACGTTTCCATTAATTCCCCGGTGATAATCGTCTAAGAAGACGAGGCTTCGACGATTCGATCATTCCTTCGATTCAGAATAATTCAACCCTTTTATCGCGATGTTCCAATTTCAAAGGGTTAAACTAGGGGATACGAAAAATTGCGAATCGAAGGAGTGGGAATCGAGGAAGCCAGCGTGATAGCACGACAGGTGGAAAAAGGCGAAATTCATGGTGGGAAAGTGTACGTTTTTGAAAGCGGGGACGCGGTCCGGCCTCGTACTACACCGGCGGTCGTCTTACGGGCTCTTCAGGGCTCTTGGTCGACCCTCGAGAAGAGCGAGCCACGAGAGCTGGCACACGGGGTCGAGAAACGGTCATAGTTCTATTTCCGTCGCTCGTGAATCATTCTCGCTTCACCTATCTCTCTTAACGCCGCTAGAACGCTCGTTCTCTATGGCTCCGCTGAAAGATGCCGCGTCCCTGATAAACCTTCTTTCCGTGGATGATTTCGTAGGAGGAATCTCTCTCTCTCGCGATGAGAAAGAAAAACGCTTCCGTTTCTCTCGTTCATGGCTTCGAGTTTTCACGACTGCCTACGAACGCGAAACGAACGCGAAACGAACGATATTTCGAGACTCTTCTCCTTCTCTCGTCTGCACTCCGACTGGTCAGTGGACGTTTCTAACGACGGAAATTTGACCGGCGACTAAACGCGCCGTTTCCGGACTTGCACACCGATAAATTCCTCGTGGTAAAGTCGCCTCCACTCTTGGGAATCGCTTTACGACGCGTACGGTTGTCAATGTCCCTGTTAAAACGTGCAACCATCGAGTGCAACCAAGCAAGAGTACGCTATTACTGGGATAAACGATCGCGAAATATGGCCGTTTCGTTCTTTTCCACAGGCAACTGACTCTCGTAGGAAATTTTAATTCTAGAAAGGATCAATTGCCAGTGGATCGAGGACTACTTGGGATTAGCCAAAAATTAGCACGATCGACAGATGGTACTCTATCTGTCCCAGATTTCGAAGATCGAGATCTCGGTTTGCGATCGGAACGGTGCTCGATCGGCCGGCAACGCGGCATCCAAGTGCATAACGGGACGATAGCCTCGCCACGGTAATACGTATCAGACTACATTTCACGGTTGATCGAGGCCCAGCCCGGCGCCATAGACAATTTCCCAAAGGGTTCCCAGACCGATATAATGGGGTGGCCAAGGTATATACCGTGGCCACGTAACTCTATCGCATTACCGTTGACCCGAGCTAGATGCTGGCTCGTTCTCTCGGGGTGAATTCGTCAATGGCTCGTCGATGCCTGATCGAGGGCAACGGGACCTGCTTCTCGAGGGTCAATTCTCCAATTGTACTTCCTGGCACGTACGTTGATCGTGCCTGGCTACACCCCTTCTTCTTGCCTCGTGATCTTCGTAGTTTAGCTACTCTTCGTTCTCCTCTACCTCTTTCTCCAACCTGCCAAACGTACAATGCTTATTCTTTCCTCATCTTGCAATTCTTTTCTCCGATCCTAATGAGAAAAACGGGCGAGCTTCGGCGGACTTTCGACATTCATTTTTAACGAATTTCCACCTAGAAGCTTCCTGGTGTGTGGAACGATCCAATGTTTCTTCGGTATATAGAGTTGAAGGTAGTACTTTGCGTATTTTTTAATTAATCGGTTAATCAACCGAAGAACGTAGAGCCACACTCCGTGTTCTACTGTTAATGTTATCAGCTTGTTGTTAACACACGCGGAGTAGACGACAGAGAGATCAGTGGACACGCATAATCACCGTTTGCCGACCACGGTCCACCGAATGTCCTAGCAGTCGTTATAGTTTAATGCGTCCCGCAGCATCGTAATGCGTCGCTGGCCGTTCGCTCGTGTAAACATTGCGTACGCTCGAGAAACGAGAGAAATCCCGGCGACCACGTCTATGAACCCGACAGTGCCTCCTTATAACCGTGCGCCATTCCCCCGGGGACATATGTCCTTATACCCTGCTCCGTGAGCTTTAATGAAAGCCATAAAGCGCTCTCTGGATCGTGCTTGCGGCGCACTGGCTGGGCTATACTGGTCACAGGATGGAATGCGGTTCGTAGCTGAAGGTCGGAGTACGCCCTCGCGAGGGGGCCGATTAACAATTGAAGCGACGACCCGGATAACGGAGTTGACGCGGCCAATGTACGACCACCTCTGACCGTGAATCTCGCGCGCTCTAGAGCTGA